AAAAATGGAGATATAATTCAAAAACCATAAAATGTACCTTTTGGAAGTGTACAATTCAGTGGTTTTTAAGGTCTATTCACGAGGTTGTGCAGTTGTCAGCGTGATCTGGTTTCAGAACACGTTATCACCCCAGAAAGAAACGCTTACCCGTTAGCAGCCATTCCCATTTCCCCCTCCCTCAGCCTTTGCCAACCATTCATCTACTTTCTGTTTCACGGATGTGCCTGTTCTGGACATTCCATAAAAGCAGACTCACACAATAGGTGGCTTTTCCTTTCTGGCTTCTTTCACTTAACATGGTTTCAAGGCTCTTCATGCTGTAGCATGAATGGGTACTTTATTCCTTTTAATGGCTGAGTAATATCCCCTTGCATGGACAGACCACATTTTGTTTATCATCAGCTGACGGACATTTGAGTTATTTCTACTTTTTGGCTATTATAAATGGTGCTGCTATGAATATTTGTGTACAACTTTTTGTGTGAACACATTTTTTTTTTGAGATGGAGTCTCCCTCTGTCGCCCAGGCTGGAGTGCAGTGGCCGGATCTCAGCTCTCTGCAAGCTCCGCCTCCTGGGTTTACGCCATTCTCCTGCCTCAGCCTCCCAAGTAGCTGGGACTACAGGCGCCCGCCACCTCGCCCGGCTAGTTTTTTGTATTTTTTAGTAGAGACGGGGTTTCACCGTGTTAGCCAGGATGGTCTCGATCTCCTGACCTCGTGATCCGCCCGTCTCGGCCTCCCAAAGTGCTGGGATTGCAGGCTTGAGCCACCACGCCCGGCCGAACACATTTTTTTCAATTCTTTTGTTTTGAGACAGTCTCACTCTGTCACCCAGCCTGGAGGTACAGTGGCACAATCTCGGCTCACTGCAACCTCACTGAACCTCCCGGGTTCAAGCTATTCTCCTGCCTCAGCCTCCCGAGTAGCTGGGTTTACAAGCGCATGCCACCGTGTCTGGCTGATTTTTGTATTTTTAGTAGAGATGGGGTTTCACCATGTTGGCCAGGTTGGTCTCGAACTCCTGACCTCAGTTGATCTGCCTGCCTTGGCCTCCCAAAGTGCTGGGATTACAGGTGTGAGCCACCATACCCTGCCTTTTTCAATTCGTTTGGGTATATATCTAGGAGTATAATTGCTGGGCCCTGTGGTAACTCTATGCAAATGCCAAACTGTTTTCCAAAATGGCCGTACCGTTTTGCATTCCCACCAGCAATGTGTGAATGTTCTAATTTCCCCATATCCTCTTTGGATTGATTTTTTATATATGGTATGTGGCAAAGGTCAAGATTAATTTTTTTCCAATATGGATATCCAATTACCCAGCACTATTTCCTGAAAAGACTCTCTTTCCTAAACTGAATGATGCCACTTTGGTCATAAATCAAGTGTCTACGTATGTGTGGGTCTATTCCGCAGCTCAGATCTGCTCTGTTGGCCTATTTGTCCCTGGGGCCAGTGCCACACTGCTCTAATTACAATACTATTACAATAAGTCTTGATACCCTGAGCTTTAACTCCTCCAATTCTGTTCTAAGATTATTTTAGCTGTTGTCTTCTGTATTTTCATCTAACTTTTAAAATCATCATATCAATTCATACACACACACATACCCCTGCTGGGATTCTACTGTATCTATAGATAAACTGATACAGTAATTAGGATTGAATTCTATCTACAGATTAATTTTGGAATAATTTACCGCTTCTTAAATTGTTATTTATTTTTTATTGGGCAGCCTCCTCAGCCACAGCAGGCTCAGACAGACTCCACATTTCTTTCTTTTCGAGTCTTTCTTATCAATGATCCTGTCATTTTAAAGGTCTTTGTGGATTCTGTGCCTCAATATTGTACAGTTTTCTGTGTAGAAGACTTGTATATTTTTGATAGATTTACTCCTAGGTATTTAACGTTTCCTGATGTTATTATAAATGGTTTCATTTAAGGCTGGGAGCTGTGGCTCATGCCTGTAATCACAGCACTTTGGGAGGCTGAGGAGGGTGGAGTTTGAGACCAGCCTGGGCGACACAGGGAGGCAGACCCTGTATCTACCAAAAAAAAAAAAGCCAGGTATGGTAGCACATTTCCTGTAGTCCCCGCTACTTGAGAAGTGGAGGCAGGAGGACGGTTTGAGTCCAGGAGTTGAGACTGCAGTGAGTTATGATTGTGCCACTGTACTCACTCCAGCCTGCGCAACAGAACAAAAAAAGAAAAAAGTATTTCACTAAAAAATGTTCATTTTTACATTGTTTGCTGCTGGTATATAGAAATGTATTTTAAAACACTTTCCTTACAGCCAGCAACCTTGCTAAGTTTATATTCTTTTTTTTTTTTGAGATGGAGTCTCTGTCACCCAGGCTGGAGTGCAGTGGCGCAATTTCAGCTCATTGCAACCACCCAGGTTCAAGCAATTCTCCTGCCTCAGCCTCTCAAGTAGCTGGGATTACGGGCACGCGACATCTCACCCGGCTAATTTTTGTATTTTTAGTAGAGACGGGGTTTCACTGTGTTGGTCAGGCTGGTCTTGAACTCCTGAACTCGTGATCCGCCTGCCTTGGCCTCCCAAAGCGTTGGGATTAAGGGTGTGAGCCACTGTGCCCAGCCTGCTAAATGTATATTCTAACAGTTTATCTGTAGATCCTTTTAGATTTATCACTCATCATCACATATTCCATGAAAAATGGCAGCTTAGTTTCCTCCTTTCTAATCTGTATATATTTTGTTTCTTTTAAAAATACTTTATTTTGTGCCTGGTTGTCCCAGCCAGGACTTCCGACAACACGGGACAGAAATGGTGACGGCTGGCATTCTTGTCTTATCCTTAATCTCAAGGGAGCGAAAAGCTTTCGTAGGTGAGCACAGCCATAAGACTAACTAATGACCCTGCAAATCAGGGATGAGCCCGCAAATCAGGATGCTCTGAAGATCACAAACTAGCAAGAAGCATGATCCACATCGGTGTGGGTCAGTTCCACATGCCCTTGCAACCGCTCGAGGACTCTGGGGCCCAAAGATAAGTAACTCACTTCATACAGTACTCAGAGAACAGAGAGCAGAAAAATGTCTCCCGTCCCAGTTTCAGCATAAGTATTAGAGCAAAACCTCCACTCAGGACCTGGCATCCTTGTGGCAAGGCAAACACAGCTGAGGTGGGGCTAAGTCTTAGCTTCCAATGCCACAGCTTTTGTTCACGTTTGGATGGCAGCCGCTCCACGACCAGAGGCAGTGTCTGTCTCAGTCTGGGAACACGGCTGAGCTGACTTGATTCTGATGGTCCTGCTGCCTGAGTCAACACGCCTACAGCTACATGGCTGCTTGCATTTCAAGACCCAGACATCAGGGCAAATACAGGCCCAGCTAAACCTCAACTCAGGTGAGAAGCCTTCAGGGGCCACGTTGCCCTGTAGTTCCCACCCACGCCCTCCCCAATCCGGGCCTGTCAAGACCCACACTCCCTACCGCCCATCGGCACTGGCCCGGGGTCTGAGGAAGTAAAACTCCAGTTCCAGCAGATGGTTTTCTCATCCACACCTCAAAACGGAAGTAAACAGAGGATGTTGATTGTGGGTTTGTTAAAAAAATAACAATGGATGTAACCACTGGATGAACTGGCATTTTTCTGAAGATATTGCCTTGGGTCTGAGCTTACTATAATTAATAAAATACTTTTTTTTTTGCAGGGGAGATGGCGTCTTACTCTGTTGTCCAGGCTTCAGTGTAGTGGCACGATCACAGCTCACTTCAGCCTGGGTTCAAAGAATCCTCCCACTTCAGCCTCCTGAGCAGCTGGGACTGTAGGTGTGGACCATTGTGCCTAGCTAATATTTTGTTTTTTTGAGAGATGGGGTTGCACTATGTTGCCCGGGCTGGTCTTGAACTCCTGGCCTCAAGTGATCCTCCCATCTCAGCCTCCTGTCACAGGGATTCATTCTTTTTTTTTTTTTTTTTTTTTTTTTTTGAGATGGAATCTCTCTCTGTTGCCCAGGCTGGAGTGCAGTGGTGCGATCTTGGCTCACTGCAAGCTCCACCTCCACCTTCAAGTGATTCTCCTGTCTCAGCCTCCCGAATAGCTGGGATTACAGGCATGCATCACCACACTTGGCAATTTTTTTTTTTTTTGAGATGGAGTTTTGCTCTTGTTGCCCAGGCTGGAGTGCAGTGGTGCGATCTCGGCTCACTGCAACCTCCGCCTCCCGGGTTGAAGCGATTCTCCTGCCTCAGCCTCCCGAGTAGATGAGATTACAGGCACCCACCACTACGCCTGGCTAATTTTTTGCATTATTAGTAGAGACAGGGTTCACCATGTTGGCCAGGCTGGTCTCAAACTCCTGACCTCAGATGATCTGCCCACCTCGGCCTCCCAAAGTGTTGGGATTACAGGCGTGAGCCACCATGCCCGGCCGGTATCCCAAGTTTCTCGTTAGTTTTTTTTTTTTTTTTTTGAGATGGAGTCTCACTTTGTCACCCAGGCCGTAGTGCAGTGGTGTGATATCGGCTCACTGCAACCTCCGCCTCCCAGGTTCAAGTGATTCTCCTGCCTCAGCCTCCCGAGTAGCTGAGATTACAGGCGCCTGCCACCATGCCCAGCTAATTTTTGTATTTTTAGTAGAGATGGAGTTTCACCATGTTAGCCAGGTTTGTCTCAAACTCCTGACCCCAGGTGATCCGCCCGCCCAGGCCTCCTGAAGTGCTGGGGTTACAGCATGAGCCGCCATGCCCAGCTACCTCTTCTTACTGGAGTGTGAGCACTAGGAGCAGGGCCCTTTCTGTGGTGCTTGCTGTGTTATACCCTGCACCCAGAACTTGGTAGGCATTCAAACAAAATTTTAAAAAATAAATGGAAGAATGAATTAAGAAACCTTCCGGGTAAGTCATCATACTGTCCTCAAACAGGGGACATCATCAATTTTATTCCTGCCAAGTAGATCTGGACCATAAGAACATGTGCTTGATCTACAACAAAAGCTGCCAGGCAAACGCCTCGTACTAAGTCCATCTCACCTGTTCTGCTCCCACCATGCTGATTGGCTTGCACTTGAAGAGGTGGGTGATGAATTTGGGAATGAAGGAGCTGTGGATAAAAAAGAAGTGACAAATTAGGCTTACTCTTTCTTGAGGAAAGAAATGCAAAAACTTTTTTTAAGGTTCCACGTATCTCCATGAAAAAACCTTTTTTAATGAAGAATCGAAGTGGACGCCACTATCGCCCACCAGCACCTATTACCTTATTTTTCTTCTGAGCGAAGCCCTGGTTTTTGGGTTTGTTTAGTTACATGAGGCCCCGGCAGGCCCGGGAAAACCGGATCCATCTTAGACCCCCAGTGAACTCTAACTATTCTCAGCTGGTCAGAGCACGGCATTCCTTTGGTGACTATTGTGTGTCCTGAGAGGGGATACGATCGAAGCTGGCCCAATCAGACTGGATGAAAAGACTACAGGCACTGCACCTGGCTAATTTTTAATTCTTTTGTAGAGGCAGGATTTCGTGACGTTGCCCAGGCTGGGCTCAAACTCCTGGCTTCAAGTAGTCCTCCTCCCTTGGGCTCCAGAAGTGCTGGGATGACAGGCATGAGTCACTGAGCCTGGCCAGGCTTCCTTGATTCTTCATTCTCCGTCTCCAGCCTCATCCTGCTAAGCCCTGGCTTCCCTAGGCTTCAACCCAACCGAGCTGCTTGCAGATCCCAGGATTCTGGGGGCTATTTAATGCCTACACTGCTCCCTCCCTTTCCTAGAAGGGGCTTGTGGGTCAGTACACACGCACCTCTCAGATCCTGTTCAACGGCGTCTCTAGAAAGCCTTTCTTCCATTGCCTTCGCCGTACTCTCCATGGAGTCCGCAGGCCTCCACCCTCACATCTAACCTACTTCATTATGCTCATTTGCTTACGGGTCCATTTTGCTTCACCTGACTGTTAAGGCACATGAAGATGGGGGCCATGTTTATTAGGCCAAAGCATTTAACGCTGGGTCTGAGACATAGGAGACACTCAAGTGAACGCACACTGAATAAATCATACTTTTTTTTTTTTTTTGGAGACAGAGTCTCGCTCTGTCACCCAGGCTGGAGTGCGGTGGCGCAATCTTGGCTCACTGCAAGCTCCGCCTCCTGGGTTCAAGCCGTTCTCGTGCCTCAGCCTCCTGAGTCGCTGGGATTACAGGCACCCACCACACCCGGCTAATTTTTGTATTTTTAGTAAAGAAGGGGTTTCACCATGTTGGCCAGGCTGGTCTCGAACTCCTGGCCTCAAGTGATCCACTTGCCTCGGCCCCGCAAAGCGCTGGGACGACAGGCGTGAGCCGCCGCGCCCGGCCGCCTACCACGCTCTGAATGTCAGCTTGGTATCAGCACTTTACCGGGAAGTTACTATGTGATTTCTCATTTTACCCTCCCAACCACTATTGTGAGATTTGTCTCATCATCTCCTCGATGAATGGAGGAGGATCAGCTCCGTGGATGAGGGAAGCTGCTTGTGGTTCAACTGCAGTTTCCACCAGGCTATGGATTCTGATGTCTCAGTAGGAACAGCTGCTATTGCTTAGACAGCAAACAGAGGTAAAAGGAAACATCTATGGTTTTGCATGGGTGGGGTAGAAAGCAAGCTAAGGGAGAGGAAACTGGAGTCCGGAGATCGGATCTGGAGGTGACTTGTGATCAGGAAGGAGAATAAACAAGGGGCTATTTGGAAGGAATTCCTCAGTGCTGGAAACCAGAGCCAGACAAGTAACGTGAGACTGAACTCATGACCAATGGCAACTGTGCACACAATGGTTTGTAACCTAAATTGCTTCACATTAGAACATGCTCTGGGCTGGGTACAGCAGCTCATGCCTATAATCCCAGCACTCTGAGAGGCTGAGGCAGGCGGACTGCTTGAGCCCAGGAGTTTGAGACCAGCCTGGGCAACATGGCAGAATCTCATCTCTACAAAAAATAGAAAAATTAGCTAGGCAGGGTGGCAAGCACCTGTAATCCCAGCTATTCAGGAGGCTGATGTGGGAGAATCACCTAAGCCCAGGAGATGGGGGCTGCAGTGAGCTGTGATCGCACCACTGCACTCCAGCCTGGGTAACAGAGTGAGACCCTGTATCGAAAAGAAAAAAAAAAGCTTTGGCTGTGCCCCTGAACCGGCTGTCTGTGCTGCTCTACAGGTGGGGTGGGGGGAATACGGGGACCTGACACGCGTCCTGTGGGAAGAAGACCAAGCAGTGTGCTGGGTAACTGCCAAGGGCTTCTCTGGGCCATCAGGGCGGTGGTGGCTGCTGCCCTTGGCCAGGGAAGGGTCTCCTCACAAGCCCACCTCTGTTAAGTGGGATTTTACCAGGATGAGAAGGCACCACGGATGAAAACAGAAAACCACTTCCTAGATCCCAGGCTGAACGATTCCAGATGTGAGGATGGGCATCCAATTCCCAGTGCACTCAACCTGGGCTTAGCAATGAAACTCAAGGGCTCTGAGAGAATGTGAGGCTGGTGCTGGGAGACGCTGGGACTGGCTAAGTCAACCGGCTCCTCTTTCACTTAACGTATAAACTCAATGATATGACTGAGATGGGAGACGCTGGGACTGGCTAAGTCAACCGACTCCTCCTTCACTTAACGTATAAACTCAATGATATGACTGAGATGGGAGATGCTGGGACTGGCTAAGTCAACCGACTCCTCCTTCACTTAACGTATAAACTCAATGATATGACTGAGATGGGAGACCTGTTACTTCCTAGATCAGATGCTGGGGAGGCTGGCTAAGTCAACCGACTCCTCCTTCACTTAACGTATAAACTCAATGATATGACTGAGATGGGAGACACTGGGACTGGCTAAGTCAACCGACTCCTTCACTTAACGTATAAACTCAATGATATGACTGAGATGGGAGACACTGGGACTGGCTAAGTCAACGGACTCCTCCTTCACTTAACGGAAACTCAATCAGACCCCAGAGCAGCCACCCTGGAGATTTTCAGTCACAGTAAATTTTTACAGAGACGCTGCTTCCTCCAGCAGTTATGGGGAGTGTCACAATGTGATTTATCAGCAGCGCTTCTTACACGCTAATGGGCACCCAGGGAGTGAGGGAATTCCACCTCCTGGTCCGTCTGCCATCTGCAAACAGTAATGCCTCCCTGGAGTGTCCACTCTATACTTTCTTGACAAACTAGAAAGTAAAGCTGACACCACAAGCCGCTCCGTAACTGTCAGTCCTGAGGGGTTCATTTGTGAGGCACAGGGAAACCAGGGGAGCTCTGGGGAAGACAGAAACTTGGAGTCCTGAATCGCTAGCTGGGGCCTGGATGGGAACAACCCAGATACAGTAGCTTGGCCTGGGCTGACCCTCCTGAAGCCCGTCCCTGAGAAGTCTGCCAAAACGCTTGCTTGATAACTGGTCAGAGGAGACACTGACCCTCAACCCCGCCTGGTAGCACGGGAAAGGGTGCTAAGCCAGATGGTGATCGGCAAAGGACCAAACTATTTCCTCGCTTCAAAACTCAGGGCAGAAATGGCCACACCCGAGGACACAGCAGGAAGACGCCGGCTCAGGGTGCACTCACCTGCCTTGGCCATGGAGCTCCCTGACTTGGGCATCCCAATTTCTAGTGCCTTCCTCGGAACAAGAGTGCGTCCAAGTATTAATAGATAAATTCTAGCAGCCATGGTAAAAATTACCAGGGGGAGGGAGGGGGAAGAAGGCTCAAAAGAAACAGAACTGATGGCTCCTACCCTTAAGAGGCATTTATAAGCCACTCAGAGAAACAGAATGCATGCAGGGAATCCCTGAAAAAGGATTTTAATCATCCAATCCTGGGCAAGGGGTGCGTATGCCTGCACAGTTCAAAACAACGTAGGCCCCATTCATTTTTGTTTGCCTTGACGTGGCTGGGGACTGTACTGCTGTTACTGTTGCCTATGACTTTAAGTAGTAGATTTAGTTTTACTAGTAAGCTTCTTCTGTGTACAAATTAGAATTAGTACTGCAGGCACCAGAACGAACCCCAGCTGGATGGTGCGGACACCCAAACTGTGAGGGTGCTGGTGGGAAGTATGGTATTAAAATTAGTACTGCAGACCGGGCGCGGTGGCTCAAGCCTGTGATCCCAGCACTTTGGGAGGCCGAGGCGGGTGGATCACGAGGTCAGGAGATGGAGACCATCCTGGCTAACACGGTGAAACCCCGTCTCTACTACAAAAAACTAGCCGGTGCAGGTGGCGGCGCCTGTAGTCCCAGCTACTCGGGAGGCTGAGGCAGGAGAATGGCGTGAACCCGGGAGGCGGAGCTTGCAGTGAGTGAGATCCGGCCACTGCACTCCAGCCTGGGCAACAGAGCGAGACTCTGTCTCAAAAAAAAAAAAAAAAAAAAAAAAGAAAAACCAGTGGATTGTGGGCCCCATTTCAGTGTCACACTCAACTAGGTTGTTTTTAATACCATACTTCCCACCAGCTCCCTCACAGTTTGAGTGTCCGCACCATCCAGCTGGGGTTCGTTCTGGTGCCTGCAGTACTAGTTTTTTTTTTTTTTTTAACATCCCTCTTCCCCACGCAGCATCTCAGCTCACTCAAGCTGGGGTTTGCTTCTGGTGCCAGGCTACGGGTACTAATTTTTTTTTTTTAGTAGAGACGGGGTTTCACCGTGTTCGCCAGGATGGTCTCGATCTCCTGACCTCGTGATCCGCCCGTCTCGGCCTCCCAAAGTGCTGGGATTCCAGGCGTGAGCCACCGCGCCCGGCCGCCACTGTCCATTTGTCCAGACCCAGGGAAGGTCCAGCACGACGTCACAGAGTCCGGTGACAACGCTGGGTCGAAGCAGGTTCATCTACTGTAAGGAATGTGCCACTTTGTGTGGGGTGTCGGTGATGGGAAGACCGTGCATGTGTGGGGGTCACGTACACGGGAAAGCTCTGAACTTTCTGCTCCGTTTGGCTGTGAACCTAAAACTGTTGTAAAACATAAAGTCTATTAAAAAAAAAAAAAAAAAGAGCCCAGAGATGAGAGTGCCCAGGACTCACTTTGCAAATTTAATGCAGAACTGAGTGAAGTACTTGCGTGTGGAGGCCAGGTTGTCACGGATGATGGGGACGTTTTGCTTGATGTGCAGGATGACAGAGGTGACGTAGGGGCTCTGGTCCCCAACGTGCTCCACGTTCTGCCACTGCATCTGCAAGGGAGAAAGGACGAGGTGCTGAATCCCTCGCAGGAGAACAGTGTCGCCTGTTGCTGGGGAAGGGAGGGGCTGGAGTGGAAATCAGGTCACAGCTTTGGTATCCCAGGAATCAGGTGCTTTTGTCCTGGGGAATTTCTTAGTTGTTCGTAGGGAATGACACTCAGGACAAAAACAAGTGTGTCCAGTGGACCCGACAGTGAGGTTGACCCAGGCCCTTTTCTTTTCCTGCCTTGTCCCCGTCATGCCTGAAACAGCCTTCCCTTCCCAGCTAAGCTACCCACACGTAAAGGATCCTGTTCTCCTGCCGAGTGCCCCACAGCAGGGGACCGCAGCAGGACAGGGAGGAACACCCCCTCCCAAGCTGACCGGCAGCTGGGAGATGAGAGCGGTGGCTGGGCTAAATGACACGAAACCTGGAGGGGCATTCACAGACCCCTTTCTCTCCAGTCAACTGGGAGCAGTTTGGGATTCTTTAACACAGAAAACTAGAAATGATGTGACGTGTGGGGACGAAGTTACTGGGAAGAGGTGCAGATGAGATAAGATCGTGAAACTGAGTGGCAGGTACATGAGGCTGACCATATTGTTTCCTCTACTTTTGAATATATTCCAAAATTTCCATAATAAAACACTTGAAGAGGTATGCGTGTAGAATCTTACACTCCTAAAACCTTTGGGATCATGTCAGGATTTCAACAAGGGGAAGGGAAAGAGAATCTCTGGCAAACACTCGGGTGGACCAGAGGGTAAGACGGAGACATGGGGGACAGGGCGGGAGTCAGGCGAAGGGGGGAGAACATTGCTGAGAGCACCAAGGTGGTCCCTGAACAGGCTGTGAACAAAAGTGACAGACCTGCTTCAACCTGAGCCCTAATGACAGGCTCTGGAAAACACCTACAGCAAACTGGCTGGATGCCTGGACTACGTGGCACTTGGCAGCACTGAGACCTGGGAACAGAAGGAGGCAGTGCTGCAGTGTGCCATCCCCGAGGCGGTGTGCAGGGGACGGGCGCAGCACCAGCTCCCAGTCTGCCCCAGGCTGGCAGGGAAGGGCACGTTAACCCCGAAGAGTGGGAATGGTCTGGGGGGTTCTGCTGAGTCAGCCTCTCACAGTGGAGCTGGACAGGCTGTTAAAGAGATCCTAAGCCAAACACAAACCATATAATATGTTCGTAGAAGGAGGTCAGTAGTTCTGAGGCCCCAGTGTCTCTGGCAAGAAAACACTATTTTTATAGAGCTCCTGGGGAAAGGAAAAATTCAATACTGAGAGAGCTTGTTTAAAAGAATCACATCGCACGTGGATGAGTCCTCAGCCGTGGGAAGCTCAAATGACTCCTAATGCTTTTTCAAATCAGTGGATATTTGTATTCTAAAAGCTTCAGCGATGTGTACACACAGAACCACAAGAAAGCAGGAAGGGACCTCCATCCTCATTTCACAGATAAGAAAACCAAGGCCCAGAGACATGAAGAGTCTTATGCAAGGCTTCATAACCAGGCTCCACATGGGAAAAAGAACTCTAATTTATTACTGGGAAAAAACAGAAACCAACAATGAAGAAACAGTGGAAAGGTCTAATATGAACTGACTTAATACTCTAATGTTTTGGTTACGTGAAATGTTTTCCTCATTATCTTTTATCTTACGCAAGAGGCTTCTTTTTCCATTTGATTCTGAAGATTTGACCCATCCAAACAACGAGCATCCTAGGTGATTTTAAATGAGCTCACAGGGTGAGGCCAAAATTCAGGTGCTGCCAGCGTTTCCTGGGCTCTGCAGCAGGACTCGGAGCAGAATGCTCCGGGGAGACACAGCGACCTGGGAGGGTTTGACGCCCCAAAGCCCATTGACGCAACGCTCTTCCACAGAAATGACTATTACTTTCCAAGCTGGCAGCTTTGTGTATTTCAAAATCTCAAAACAGTTTATCAGCAATGATTGAAACATGACAGTCCTCCATGAAAGGAGGTGGTGACGTGCTCTGTCACCAGTTACAAAGTGACTCAAGCAAGACGGAGCAGGGGCCGGGATTTCTTCAACTTCCACGGGTTATTCCACACGCTCATCACCTAACTCCTCGATAGTCACTGGCCAGGTCGGTGCGTGTCCACATTTGGCAACATGTGGAAAGAGCTGATTTGCTTTAATACCCTGGTCAGTCACGACTCCGCCGGTCAAGTTAAAACGAGTATTAGCAAAGGCCAAATGGATTCATGATTTTAAACTTAAGTCAGCTCAGTGAACTAAGAAAGGGATTTAAAGTACTAGAAAACAATAAAAAGTGACCTTATTTTTAAAATATGTGGCACATGCCTACAGTCTCAGCTACCAGGGAGGCTGAGGCAGGAGGGTCACTGGAGCCCAGAAGGTTGAGGCTGCAGGGAGCTGCGATTCTACCGCTGCACTCCAGCCTCAGATGGCTGATGCTCGCCGTCATCCGGCTGATGCTCGCCGTCATCCACCATGGATGACTGAAGGTTTGGGTCACAACCTGAACTGCCTCAGACAGCTACATTGAGACCGAACTTCGCAGGTCACTTTGCCCGGCCCTAAACATACATCATCTCATTTACTATTCATACATGATCTCACTTCGTTCTCGCAACAACCTTGTAGATGAGGAAATTAAAAAGGCTCAAAGAGATTTGGTATCTTGCACAAAATTTCAAAGCTGGGACAACCAGGTCCATCTAAAGCCCAAACTCCACACCAAGGTGCTTGCTAGACAACTTCCCCCCAGACCCACCCCCACCCCCTACCCCACCACCTTTGCCTGCAAAAAAGAATAAAAGCACTTAACTAGGCCTTTGTTCAAGGTAAGGCCTGTTTTTCAAGGAGAAGCTAATGAAACATAGTGATCAAGCAAAGGACTCTTTCTTTATTTTTTTATTTTGAGACAGTCTCTGTTGCCCAGGCTGGAGTGCAGTGGTACAATCATAGTTCATGGCAGCCTTGACTTCCTGGGCTCCAGCAATCCTCCCAGCTCTGCCTCCCAAGTAGCTGGGACCACAGGTGTACACTACCATGCCCAGCTAATTACAAAAAACTTTTTTTTTTTTTTTTTTTTTTTTACTTTTTGTAGAGACGGGGGTCTCACCGTGTTGCCCAGATGGTCTTGAACTTCCTGGTTCAAGCAATCCTCCTGCCTCAGCCTCCCAAAGTTGGGATTACAGGCGTGAACTACCACGCCCGGCCCAAAGAACTCTTTCAAAAAAGGAAACAAACAGTGCCTTGCGTTGGAAGAACAAACATCATGAAAAGCCATCAGTAGAAATAAGACCTCAACTTTTCCAGGTAAACTTTTCACTGGACATTTATAAGTTACCCCTCTACACTTAAAATTGTTTCTTGTTGTGCTTTTTGTTTAGGGGGCTTGGGTAGAGTTGAAAACAGATGGCGTTCAACTGGTACTATCTAAACAAGACAGTTTGAAGACATAAAAATGATGAGCACCTCCGGGACCCAGTCTAACCACCACAGGAAGAGACTGCGGGGCCCGGCGTGTCCCCAGAGCCCGGCTTCCGCTGCCTGGGCAGGAAGTGTGTGCTCTGTGTGACACTCCACGGCGGGGCTGGGGGGCCAGCACTCTTGCTAGAGAGAGCCTACTGTAGCAGGAACTTGGATCAGAGAACAGCGCTCCACAACTAGGTTCAGTGGATCTCGTTTTTTCCTATTGCCATACGAAGCTTGGAAAGAGGTTTCTTGAAAATCTGAATACTTAAATTCCTACTTCTTCACCGGATTAGAGAGACACAGAGCATAGACTCAGCCAGCTGGGCTCTGGGAGCATTTCAGGCAACTGAAGTCTCATATTATAACTGAGGCTGCCGGGATGCTGGCCTCAAGCAGTGGACTTTACTCAGGCACGCACCTACACGCTCACTCTCACTCTGACGCCTGGTGGGGCTCCTTTCACTCCCGCTCAGATATATTCATAGGTACCTTTGGCAAGCGCAGCACGGCACCGAGCATTGGGTGGGGACCAAGGAGGTGAAGGAACCTTTATCAAGCACCTACCACACACCAGGCACTGAAGGAACCTTTATCAAGCACCTACCACGCACCGGGCACTGAAGGAACGTTTATCAAGCACCTACTACGCACCGGGCGCTGAGGGAACGTTTATCAAGCACCTACTACGCACCCAGCACTGAAGGTACGTTTATCAAGCACCTACTACGCACTGGGTGCTTAAGGAACGTTTATCAAGCACCTACTATGCACCCGGTGCTGAAGGAATGTTAATAAAACACCTACTACACACCCGGCGCTGAAGGAACGTTTATCAAGCACCTACTATGCACTGGGTGCTGAAGGAACGTTAATCAAGCACCTACTATGCACCCGGCATTGAAGGAACGTTAATCAAGCACCTACTACGCACTCAGCACTGAAGGAACGTTTATCAAGCACCTACTATGCACTGGGTGTTTAAGGAACGTTTATCAAGCACCTACCACACACTGGGCACTGAAGGAACGTTAATCAAGCACCTACTACCCACCGGGCACTGAAGCAATGTTTATCAAGCACCTACTATGCACCGGGCGCTGAAGGAACGTTAATCAAGCACCTACTATGCACCCGGCACTGAAGGAACGTTAATCAAGCACCTACCACGCACCGGGCACTGAAGGAACGTTTATCAAGCACCTACCACACACTGGGCACTGAAGGAACGTTTATCAAGCACCAACTACCCACCGGGTGCTGAAGGAATGTTTATCAAGCACCTACCACACACCGGGCACTGAAGGAACGTTAATCAAGCATCTACTATGTACCAGGCGCTGTGCCTGACATTTCCACATGAACTTGCTGCCTGATGAATGAATGATGTAGTGAAGAGGTATTATTACTCCTCTTTGTGAGTAATAATAAATGAGGATGAGACAGGCTTGAGGACAGCGAGTGACCTGCCTAAGGAAGCACAACTGCTAAGTTAGCAGGAAAGGTCATTAAGATGGTACTCAACATGCTGAAATTGAGTCAGC